TATAATTAACAAGAAAAAAAATAAATGTTGGAGAGGATGTAGAGAAAAGGGAACCCTCATACACTGCTGGTGGGAATGCAAACTGATGCAGCCACTATGGAAAACAGCATGGAGATTTCTCAGAAAATTAAAAATAGAAATACCATATGATTGAGCTATTCCACTCTTGGGTATTCATCCAAAGAACATAAAATCAACAATACAAAGAGATTCATGCACCCCTATGTTCATTGCAGCATTATTCACAATAGCCAAGACATATAAGCAATCCAATTGCCTATCAACTGATGAATTGGATAAAGAAGATGTGGTATATATATACAATGGAATACTACTCAGCCATAAAAAAAGACAAAATAGTGTCATTTGCAACAACATGGATGGACCTTGAGGGTATTATGTTAAGTGAAATAATCGAGACACAGAAAGACAAACACCATATGATTTCACTCAAATGTCGTAGATAAACAAACACATGGATGAGGAGAACAGATGAGTGGTACCAGAGGCGAGGGAGAAAGGGCTAAAGGGGCACATATGTATGGTGATGGATTAAAACTAGACTATTGGGGGTGAGCACGATGCAGTCTATTCAGAAACTGATATATAATAATGTACACCTGAAATTACACAATGTTCTAAACCAATATGACCTCAATAAAATAATTTTAAAAAAGGCAGCCCTTACCTGTCTGAGGTGAGCTTCATGAGGGTGTGGCCCTGTGTGGAGTACGTGATGAAGGACATCCGCAGTTTCGGGCTGGGGAGGAAGCAGGCACTCGTGAGAGGCCATAAACACAGGCTCAAATGACGCCAATGTGCAGCCAGGGACGGGGTGCATGCCAACCTCCCTGCTCCCCACCCCAACTCTTCCCCTTTGGGGCCCATTTTCTGAGCCCCAGAAATTCCTGTAACTTCCGTGAAGGATTCTGAGGCTTCACTGTTGAGGCTCCAATACCCTACAAGTCTCTCTGTCTCAAACACACACAGACACACACACACATGCACGCCACATGCACAAGGAGATAGACACTTACACACTCCTGCATGAAGGTTTCTCAGCTGGCCTTGCTTCTACTGTAAAACTCTTTGGATCTTCATCACCCTTCCTTCCCTGCCTGTCTTCCCCATCTCATCTCTTCTCTCATCTCAAAGAAATTATTCTCTCTCATGACAGCCATTCATATACATCCCTCCCTTTCCTCTCCCTGGCCACTGTCTTCTGGTCTGCTGAACCTCATTATCTTTTAACTAAATTGCTACCACAGTTCCCTAGATGAGCTTCCTACAGCTCCTGGTTATTGTTCCAACTCATTTTACCCACAATTATCAGAATTCTTTTCCTGAAGCACAACATTTATCATGTCACACACCTGCTCAAGAATCATCTATAGCACCGTATTGCTCACAGCAGGAAATCCAAACCCCTTTGCCTGGCATTTTGAGCCCCAATGGCCTTGGCCCCAAGATGTCCTGTCTAGCCTCATCTCCCAGCCCTCCCCTGAGTTAACCCTACCGTCCAATCAAACAGACCATTCTCTCCACAAGAAGTCTCCTTGATGTCTTCTGTTACCTAACCTTTCCCCATCCTTCAAGACCTAGTTCTAATGTCCACATCTTCTGGGAAGCCATCATTTTTTCTCTAAGAATTCTTGCTTTCTCCTTTAAGCTGTCTTATAAGTCCTTTGCCCTTTTCTTTTGGCCCTTAGCACTGTTTAAACCAGGTGTTTAGCTGTATGTTAGTGGTTTATCTGTTTCCTAGTCCTTGAGGGCCTCAAGGGAAGACTGTCTCCCCTGCAATATGACCTGAATCCTAGGCAGGAGCCAAGCAAAGCTGCGGAGAACCAGCTGAACCACTGTGATCTGTCCTTTCCTGCTTCAGAACACCACCCTGTGTCTGTGCTTCTGACCCGAGAGGTACTCCCATGCCCACCAAGTCTAAACAGCTGTGAACTCTGCCTGGGAAAAGAAAACACCCAGAAACATGGAGAAGCCGTACTTTTCGAACTTCTTGACCACTTCATCAACAAAGTTGTAAACGTCCATCCAATTGTTGTTCACACTGCCCGACCTGAAAATGAAGAAGACCTGAGTCAGAGGGATGAGTCGTGTTCATTGAGTGGGCACAGTTTCTGCCTCCCTACCTTCCAGCAGCCCCTTTAGCAAGACCCTCCCCCCTCCCCATGTAGATGAAGGCTGTCCTTCAGTTCTCAGTGGGTCACCCTGGTGACCCTCAGCGATCTCAGTGGGTCCACCCTGGTGGTGACTTTCATCAGTGCGAGTGGTGGAGAGTGTGACCAACCAGACCTGTGTGTTGGGACTGAGGGCCTTCCAGGATGAGGGACTTTGGATGGCAAACCAGGATGGTTGGTCACACTAGGTGGGGCTCTTAGACAAGAAATGAGGGAGGGTGTGTTGGCTGGAAAAGCCTCCAACGATTCTGATATGTTGGCTCTCTTGGTCCCCCACTTCTCCTTGGGAATAACCATTCCCGACTGTCTTCTCGTTTCCTACCCCTTGAAGGTGTGTGTTGGTGGCAGGCAGGACTCTTTGACACCACATCCCAACAAAAGGCTCTTGGCTTGTCCTCTCTACCATTCCTTTTGTCTCCTCTAGGCTGTATCTAAAACTGTCAACAGACGGTGATGAGACCAAGGAGATGATAACGATATCAGGATTATCCTTCATGGAGCTCATATGTACCAGTACTTTACATACATGATTTCCAATTCCAGAACAACCCTATGATATCAGTATTATTACCACACTACAGATGAGAGAACTGAGGCTCTCAAAGGCCGTGGATTTTGCCACAATTTCAATAGCTGGCATGGATCTAAACCCAGATCTAGCCTTAAAACCCATGCCTTATCCATTGTACTTGGCATATCTGGGTGACACTCCTGTGTCTGACAATTACTGGCTAGCAAGGCACTAGACTCTGATGATCACCACAATATAGACTTTCTTTTGTAAGCTCCCATGCTAAAGTGCAAGACAACTCCTTTCCTAACTATTGGTAACACTTTCCACTTTCCTTCTTACTACTCATTGCTCTCCTCCTCTTTTTTCCCCTGAGTGAAGAAGATCTTCCAAAGAAATATACAGGAAACAAGAATCTTCAACCCACTCACCTACTCTTAGAAAGTTTCCAGTTTGTGATGATTTTGAAAGAAAGTCTAGAATCTAAAATACAGAAGAATGCAAGTGCTCATGGGCAGTAGAAAATGCCACAGGGACCTACAGGACCCTGGAAAGGAGGCAGTACGGAACAGAGCAACCATGTGGGTTTCTGGCACACAGAGCTCCAATCATGTTTTAGTGCCCCACTCTTAAACGAGAATGGCGAGAGGAGGATCACAAGACATTTGAGAATATCTCTACTATTAAAGCTTGAGGCCGAACATCCTAGTGCTATAACTATGCTGGCAGAATGGAAATGGCTGGGTCAGAATCATGTGGGGGAGCTGAGCTATAAGAAAGCTAAATTCTCTTCCTCAATAATAAGAAGTCAATAGAGAAGGTGCACCCTCAAACAGCAAGAAACAGCAATCAGTACAAGCATGTTATGAGAAACATGGTCATAATACCAGAAGAAAAATCTGAAAGAATTGCAAGTGGCTGCCTCTGGGGAGTGGGATCAGAAGTGAGGAAGAGAGGGTCAAGAGCCTTGAGTTTTTTGTTGTGAACTTTGTAATATTGTTTAGTTTTAAATTAATGTTTAAGCATTTCCTTGATAAATGTAAAAATGAAATTACAAACAAAAACTAGTAGCATGGCTATGGTGAATAACACTGCAATGAACACAGGGGTGCATGTATCTTTATGCATTGGTGTTTTCAAGTTCTTTGGATAAATACCCAGCAGTGGAATAGCTGGATCATATGGTAGTTCTATCCTTGATTTTTTGAGGAATCTCCATACTGTTTTCCATAGTGGCTGCACCAGTTTGCACTCCCACCAGCAGTGTATGAGAGTTCCCTTCTCTCCACATCCTCTCCAAGACATGGTGTTTCCTGTCTTGTTAATTATAGCCATTCTGACGGGCTACACCTGAAATTTATACAACGTTATAAACCAATGTTACTGCAATAAAAAAAAATTAAAAAAAAATAAACACACAACTCCCTTTGGGGAAAAAAAAAAAACAAACTAGTAGCATGGAGTGATGTCAGCAAAATGGCAGACTTGGAAGCTCCAAGCCCTGGTTTCCCCCTACAGAAACACTGAACAAACAAAGAGCAAGGAAAAACAGAGCATACCACCATGGAACACCAATATACAAAGGTAGGCAGAAACAGAGGGGAAAAGAAACAATGGAAATACAACACAACCAGAAAGCAATCAGTAAGGTGAGAGTAGTAAGCCCTTACATATCAATAATCACTTTAAATGCAGACGGATGGAATTCACCAATCAAAAGGCACAGAGTGGCTGGATGGATAAAAAAACAAGATCCAAGTACATGCTGCCTACAAGAGACTCATTCAGCTTTAAAGACACACACAGGTTCAAAGGGAAAGGATGGAAGGAAATATTCCATGCAAATGGAAATGAAAAAAAATTGGATAGCCACACTTATATCAGACAAAACAGACTTTAAACCAAAAACAATAACAAGAGTCAAAGAAAGTCATTATATAATGATAAAGGGGTCAATACATTGAGAAGATAGGACAATCGTAAATATACGTGCACATCTGAGCACCTAAATATATTAAGCAAATACTAACAGATCTGAAGGGAGAAAGATAATAATACAACAATAGTAGATGACTTCAATACCCCACTTTCAGCAATGGAGAGATCACTCAGACAGAAAATCAACAAGGAAATGTTGGAATTGAACCACACTATGAACAAATGGACTTAACAGACATATGTAGAACATTCCATCCAATTGCAGTAGAATGCACATTCATCTCAAGTCCACAAAGATTATTCTCCAGGATAGACCACATGATAGGACACAAAACAAGTCTTAGCAAATTTAAGAAGACTGAAATCATACCTGCTCTCTTTTCCAACTACAGTGTTATGAAACTAGAAATCACCAAGAGGAAAGCTGGAAAATCTACATATATGTGGAAATTAAACAAAACCACCAATGGGTGGAAGAAGATATCAATTGGAAAATAAAAAAAATATCTTGAAACTAATGAAAATGAAAACAAAACATACCAAAACCTATGGGATGCTGCAAAAGCAGTTCTGAGAGGAAAATTTATAGTGATAAAAGCATGTATTAAGAAATTAGAAACATCTCAAATAAAAAACATAACTTTACACCTCAAAGAACTAGAAAAAAGAACAGATTAATCCCAAAGTTAGCAGAACGAAGGCAATAATAAAGATCAGAGCAGAAATAGAGACTACAATAACAATAGAAAGAATCAACAAAACTGAGAGCTGGTTTTCCAAAAAGATAAATAAAATTGACAAACCTTTATCTAGACTAACTAAGAACAAAAGAGAACTCAAATAAATAAAATTAGAAATGAAAGAGGAGACATTACAACTGATACTACAGAAATACATAGGATCATAACAGACTACTCTGAACAATTATATGCCAACAGATTAGATAACCTAGAAAAAGTGGATAAATTCCTAGAAACACACAACCTAGCAAGACTGAATCAGAAAGAAAGAGAAAATCTGAACAGACCAACAATGAGTAAAGAGATTGAATCAGTAATCAAAAATCTCTTAATGCAGAATACCCCAGGACCATACAGCTTCACTGACAAATTCATGAAATATTTAAAGAAGAATTAAGGTCAATCCTTCTTAAACTATTCCAAAAAATTGAAGAAGAGGGAACACTTGGAAGCTAATTCTAGGATGCCAGCATTACTCTGATACCAAAACCAGATAAGGACACTATAAGAAAAGAAAGCTGTAGACCAGTATCCTTGATGAATAGGTACAAAAATTCTCAACAAAATATTAGCAAACTGAATTCAAGAACACAAAAGAATTATACACCATGGCCAAGTGAGATTTATCTCTGGGATGTGAGGATGGTTCAACATATGCCAATCAATAAATGGGATACACTACATTAATAGAATGAAAGGTAAAAATCACATGATTCACTCAAGAGATGCAGAAAAAGCATTTGACAAAATACAACAACTTTCATGATAAAAACTCCAAACAGATTGGGTATAGAAGGAACATACCTCAACATAATTAAGGCAATATATGACAAACCCACAGTTAACATTACACTCAATAGTGAAAAACTGAAAGCTTTTCCTCTAAGATCAGGCACAAGACAAGGATGCCCACTCTTAACCACTCTTATTCAATATAGTACTGGAAGTTCTAGCTAGAGCAATTAGGCAAGACAAAGAAATAAAAGGCATCCAAAACAGAAAGGTAGAAGTAAAACTGTCACTATTTGCAGATGATATGATTTTGCATACAGAAAATCCCAAAGACTCAACCAAAAACCTGTTGGAACTAGTCAAAAAATTCAGTAAAGTTGCAGAACATAAAATCAACATGCAGAAATCAGTTGCATTGATTTCTGAGAAATCAATGATTCTTGATTTCAGAGAAATAAAGAAAACTATCCCATTCAAAGTGTACCTAAAACAGTAAAATACCTAGGAATAAATTTAACCAAGGCAGTGAAAGATCTGTGCAACAAAAACTACAAGACACAAACAAATGAAAAGACATCCCATGTTTATGGATTGGGAGAGTTAATATTGTTAAAATGTCCATACTACTCAAAGCCATCTACAGATTCAATGTAATCCCTATAAAAATTCCAATGGCATTTACAAAATACAAAAAAAATCCTAAAATTTGTATGACACCACAAAAGACCCTAAATAACCAAAGCAATCCTGAGACAGAAGAACAAAACAAGAAGCATCACACTTCCTGATTTAAAACTATACTACAAAGCTATAATAATTAAAACAGTATGGTACTGGCATAAAAACTGACACATGACCAATGGAACAGAATAGAGAACCCAGAAGTAAGCTCCCATATATATGGCCAACTAATATTTGATAAGGGAGCCAAGAACATCCAATGTGGAAAGGATAGTCTTCAACAAATGGTGTTGGAAAAACTGGATAAATACATGTAGAAAAGGGAAAATGGACCTCCACCTTGCACCACTCACAAAAATTAATTTAAAAAGGATCAAACAGGGCCGGCCCCGGGGCTTGGCGGTTAAGTGCGCACGCTCCGCTGCTGGCGGCCCGGGTTCGGATCCTGGGCGCGCACTGATGCACCGCTTCTCTGGCCATGCTGAGGCCGCGTCCCACATACAGCAACTAGAAGGATGTGCAACTATGACATACAACTATCTACTGGGGCTTTGGGGAAAAAAAAAGGAGGAGGATTGGCAATAGATGTTAGCTCAGAGCCAGTCTTTCTCAGCAAAAAGAGGAGGATTAGCATGGATGTTAGCTCAGGGCTGATCTTCCTCACAAAAAAATAAAACACAAAAAACCCCCAAAAAAGATGTGTGTGTGTGTGTGTGTGTATATATATATATATATACACACACAATGGAATATAATTCAGCCATAAGAAAGGCAGTCATCCTTCCATTTGCAACAACCCTGATGGACCCTGAGGACATTTTGCTAAGTCTGATAAGTCAGACAAAAAAGACAAATACTGCATGATATCACTTATATTTAAAATCTGAAAAAGCCAAGCTCATAAAAACACAGAGTCAAATGGTGATTACCAGGGGTTAGGGGGTGGGGGAATAAGAGAAATGTTTAAGGGTACAAACTTGTTACTAGTAGACAAATAAATTCTGTAGATCTAATGCACAATTTAGTGAATATAGACAACAATATTATATTAGAATCATCAAATTTGCTACGCAAATTTGCCACAAACAATGATAAATATGTGACATGACAGAGGCACTATCTATCACTACAATAGCGATCATATTATGATATATAAATGTATCAAACCAACACGTCGTACACCTTCAATTTACACAACGTTGGATGTCAAATATATTTCAATCAAAAAATAATTTAAAAAAAAATAAAGGAAAACGATATATGAACAAAATGAGAATATTAACTTGTAACCATTAATGCTCATGTAACCATAAAGAAAATGGCTATAATAGAATATACACAAAGGAAATGACAAGGGACTCAAAAAGCAAAGGACCTTCTAAGCCACGACTCAGTGACAATGCCCAACAGACAACACAGCAATCTCTCTGGGGCCCAGTAAAAACAGAAGACATTTGGGCAAAAAACAAAACAACGAACAAACAAACCCAAAGCCCTCAGTGAGCTTGCACAACTGCTGCGAAGGCAGCTCCAGCCTTCACGTCCCCTGGGGCTGTTTAAGGGGCATGCAGGTCACAGATTCAGGCCCAGCTGGTGGAGGACACAGACCCATTCAGAAACCCTCTGGTGGCCTTTTTTCCTTTCCAAATGAAAAAATTTCAGGGAACAAATGCCTGGGGCATTCCTGCTGCCTCAGGACCAAGGAGGCCACAAAGGTCTGTTCCTTGGGTCTGATCAAGACTGGCCCACCCACTCCCCTCGCTGAAGGGGTGTCCCCTTTGGCCACGTGCTGCACAAATGACCCCAGGGACAGCAATGCCCCTTGGCGCTGGCGAGGGCAGGAGGGCCACTCACATGTCCAACATGAAGTAGAGGTCATATGAGCTCCCGCAGGATTTCGGCTCTTCTTCTTTCTGGGTCTCCTGGGGCCACGCGCTCGGGCCGCGGATGTGGTGGAACCTTCCCCGGTCTGGACTGAGGAGGCGGTGGTGCTGGAACCTTCCCCAGTCCAGCCCGAGGCCTTGGAAGTCTGGGGAGCCCTGGAGGCTGTGTGGGAAGCTCCCCGCGCTCAGCAGCAGCAGGAGCAGCAGGAGCAGCAGGAGCGCGGGGTCCGGCACTGCGGGGCCGCCGCTCCCCATTTCCTTGGCGGCCCCTGCGGCACCACGGGACCCGGGCCACCTCAAGCCACCTCAGGCCCCCGCTTCCACTGCGTCCCCTGTGCCCGGGGACTCAGCCCCTCCCGCGCTTTCACCAGGGCGCGTGCGCGAGCCTCCACCTGGTAGCTGCCCCGCCGGCCAAGGAGGCGAAGCGGCTGTGGCCCCAGGCTCTCACTACCTGCGCGGCGCTTCCCCCGCCTCGCGGAGGCCGAGTCTCCCGTCGTTGTGATGGACAGGAAGGTTGGCATGGTGACTTTGTGACCTGCAGCTCTGCTCAGAGTCCTGCCTCTTGACAGCCCCAGGCGGGAGTCATGGGATCCTTGGATGCGGGGAAGAGGAGGCCTCCATTTGTCCCTCATCCCAAACGCTTACAGGTGGCCATTAACATCCTCCAGAAACCCTGCCTTTCTGTAAACTGAAAGGGCACTGAGGTGGCTTAGCTAGGGACGTCACTGTGGGTGAGGAGGTCAAGGAACTGGAGTCTGGTGTGCTGTAAAGGTCACTCCTGTGAATACTGAAGTCGCCCAAGGGATGGAAGGATCTAGAAGGGGAAGGTATGCAAGGATGCCAGAGTTCTTTGTGAATGAGTTACCTCATTCCGCAGTTACCTACTGCGGTGAAACGAACCACCCCAAATTAGTGACATAAGACAAGAACCATTGTATTATGCCCACAGGTTCTGTGTCCAGAAATTCAGAGAGCGCTGAGTGGGGATGGCTCGTCTCTGCTCCATGGAAAAACATGGAAAATCCATTTGCTCTTACATAAAAATTTTAGAAGCAGCACATCATCTCTGTTCCCTCAAAACCCTCTTAATATTTGATTACAACAACATTAAATATATAGATACATTTGCAGGGATTTGATATCTGCAACCTGAACTCCTCCTATCAGTGAACATGGCAATGTCTCCACTGATTTAAATCTTTTTCAATGCTTTCCATATAAATTTCCCTATGAAGATCTTGACCTCTTTTGTCAAGTGCCTTCCCTAAATACCCTATATTTTTGCTGTTATTGTAAATGGCATTTTAAAAGTTTTAAAACTGTTTATTGCTGTCATGAAGAAATGTATTTATTTATTGATATATTCACCCAACTTGCTAAACTCTCTTATTCTAAAAATTTATCTGTAAAATAAGTTGAGTTTCTATGAAAAACAAAAAAAACAAAAAACACTGTGCTGACTAGTTCTCTAATGACATGCTGACTAGAAGCTGTGATGGAGGCATTCTTGATTTTAAAAAAATGCTTCTAACATATCATCATTAAGAATGACATTTATGGAAGTCTTTTGGTAGAAATCTTTTATCAGATTAAGGTGTTTTCAAACTATTCTTGGTTAGTTACAAATCACGAATGAGTGTTGAATTTTGTCTAAATTTTTTTTTGCATATTTTGTGATGAACATATTATTGATGTCATATTGGCTTTTAACATTGTGTAAATTTCAGGTGTACAAATGTGTCATCTTCTGTATAGACTGCATCATGTTCACCACCAATAGTCTAGGTTTCACCCGTCACCAACATATGTGCCCCTTTACCCCTCTCCTCTGGTAGCCACCAATCCGTTCTCCTTATCTATGTGTTTGTTTGTTTATCTTCCACATGAGTGAAATCATGCGGTATTTGTCTTTCTCTGTCTGTCTTGTTTCGCTTAGCATAATACCCTCAAGGTCCATTCATGTTGTCACAAATGGCATGATTTTATCTTTTTTAATGGCTGAGGAGTATTCCATTGTATATATATACCACATCTTCTTTATCCATTCATCAGTTGATGAGCACTTGGGTTGCTTCCATGTCTTGGCCATTGTGAATAATCCTGCAATGAACATAGGGGTGCATAAGTCTCTTTGAATTGTTGATCTCATGTTCTTTGGATAAATACTTGGTAGCGGAATAGCTGGATTATAGAATGGTATATCTATTTTTAATTTTTTGAGAAATCTCCATACTGTTTTCCATAGTTGCTGCACCAGTTTGCATTCCAGCACTGTATGAGGGTTCCTCCTTCTCCACATCCTCTGCAATACTTGTTATTTCTTGTCTTGTTAATTGTAGCCATTCTGATGGGTGTGAGGTGCTATCTCATTATAGTTTTTATTTGCATTTTATAATAATTAGTAATGTTAAAAATCTTTTCATGTGCCTTTTCATGTATATTTTCTTTGGAAAAATGTCTGTCCATCTCATTTGCCCTTTTTTGGATCGGGTTGTTTGTTTTTTTGTTGTTGAGTTGTATGAGTCTGTATATATTTTGGAAATTAACCTCCTGTCAGATATATGATTCACAAATATTTTCTCCCAGTTGGTGGGTTGTCTTTTTGTTTTGTTGATGGTTTCCTTTGCTTTGCAGAAGGTTTTTAGTCTGATGTAGTCCCATTTGTTTCTTTTTTCTCTTTTTTCCCTTGCCTGGTGAGACATGGTATCTGAAGAAGATACTGCTAAGACTGATGCCAAAAAGCATACTGCCTATGTTTTCTTCTAGGAGTTTTATGGTTTCAGGTCTTATACTCAAGTCTTTAATCTATTTTGAGTTAATTTTTGTGTATGATGTAAGACAATGGTCTACTTTCATTCTTTTGCATGTGGCTGTCCAGTTCTCCCAACACCAATTATTGAAGAGACTTTCCTTTCTCCATTGTACGTTCTTGGCTCCTTTCTCAAAGATAAACGGTGCATAGGTGTGTGGTTTTATTTTTGGGCTCTCGATTCTGTTCCATTGATCTGTGTGTCTGTTTTTGTGCCAGTACCATGCTGTTTTGAGTACTATAGTTTGTAGTATATTTTGAAATCAGAGATTGTGATACCTCCAACTTTGTTCTCTTTTCTCAGGATTGCTTTGGCTATTTGGGGTCTTTTGTTGTTCCATATAAATTTTAGGATTCTTTGTTCTATTTCCATGAAGAATGTCATTGGGATTCTGGTA